TCACACATAATGCAACACATGTCATATATGATACCACACATGTCACATATAATGCAACACAGGTCATATATGTTACCACACATGCCACACCTAATGCAACACATGTCATACATGTCCCCACACATGTCACACATAATGCAACACATGTCATGCATGATACCACACATGTCACATGGGTCCCCTGCAATTTGTTATCTTTTATATGTTAGGACTTCTTTTACCCACCTGGGTCATTGCTACACTGCGGCCTACTATGGGCCTGCCTGTACTTCTATGGCGCTGTACTTCTATGGCCCTGCACTTCCATTGGCCAGGGAGAGAGAGGAGAGAGAGAGAGAGAGAGTGGAGAGAGAGAGAGAGAGAGGAGAGAGAGGAGAGAGAGGAGAGAGAGGAGAGAGAGAGAGAGGAGAGACAGAGAGAGAGGAGATAGAGAAAGAGAGGGAGGAGAGACACAGAGAGACAGGCATTTCCATTCGAGAACCAGCAACATGCATTGCCTCAGTACCAAAGGAATGCACAGCAATCTCTCAATATGCAAAACCTACAAACCTTGCAACTGTGACACACAAAGATGCAAATAGAAGACCTCCTCACAACAGTGGCCTGAGCGAGCGCACCTGTCAAGAGCATGGTTGAATAGTGTTCACATGCCATATTCTCACATCATGCCACATCATCAATTGCCACACTCTTGTCACTACTGGCACTTGTCAGTTCTGTGCACATTTTAAACCCTTTTCCACACAGGATTGGTGACAGCCATTTCTCATATGGCATGTGATACAGCTCTTTGTCATGGCTCTGATTTAAGCCAGCCATATATGGCATGTGATGCAGCACTTAGTCACGGTTCTCTTTGAATGACACATGGCCCTTCATCATCTTCTGCATCATCATCATCTGCCTGAACTGCACATGATTCTCATGGTTTGCACCAGCTGGTTTAAAAGGAATATAACTGCAGGTTGCCCCAACAAACAAATATTTACGAAAATCAAAAGTTTTGATTGATGTGATCAACACTTCAAGGGTCCACAAGGTCCAATTGTGGTCCATCAGGATCAGGATTGTGCACTTGCACCAATATAGGGCGTGGCCTGCCTCCTTCATAATGTGGATTGTGCGGAACCACATCATGTGACATGTGTCCACTGCCAGCTTCACAACGGTGACGGAGGAAACCTGAGACAGCCATCATGAGGGCATTTGCATACAGCACATTGAATCAAACCTGAGACAACCATCGTGAACGCATTCAAAAGTATATGTCACCAAGAAGCTGTAGTCACTTGGCCGTGGATGACGCCGCAATGTTCCCTTTGCCCACCCAGTGAGAAAGCTGTGGGCCTTGAAGGAAATGGCATCCTTTGCATAGGCCGCATCAGCCTGCCGCACCACCAGCAGCCGATCCTCACGTGACATTTGGCGCCTGCCCCGCTCACCAGATGGCTGCTCTGCAAAGGTGGCACGTAACATGTTGGCTTCACTGGCACCTCACACAACATTTGATTATATAAAACCCAATCACATGCAAAAAATATGCCTGAAGCTGCTGCAAACAAAAACAATACATTAATATTGAATGCAAGTTGCTAAACAGCCTGACCACTTGGTATGGAAGTGCATCAGACATATAGTGATACAGCAGCATCATGATGTCATTTGGCGAAGGGTTGGCACAGTGGTACTTGGCATGCTCCACCTCCTCCTTCTTGGCATGCTTCCGCTTGAGGACCCGAAAGCCATGCGGCGCCATTGGACCAGTGTGATTGGCAAACTTCAATGGAATGTCATTGATCCATGCGTTCCAGTCAGCACTGTTGTCATGTTTGTAACATGTCTTTGAGAACGTCCCCTCCTCAAATGTGGCACGTGACAAGAACTGCTGGTACGTGTCCACCAAGCCATTTGGATCATCAAATGGCATGTGACTACACCGTGTCACAGCCTGACCGCCAATGGCATCTAAGGGTCCATGTGTATGACCCTTCACAGGAAACAGGATCGTTGCTGTCACAAAGGCATCCATGACAATCAACTTGGTGAGCCACTTCAAGAGCAATTGGTTCTTGTTGCAGGAACACGTGTTGTCCAATATCAAGAAATAATGTCTTGGCAGGCGTCCACCAAACTTGTCATAGCATCTGCTTGTGGCACGTGCCAAAGTTTCACAATGATTGCACGTGTCCTGAGTGTTAAGGTTGTGTATTTCCTGATGTGTTACGTGGTCCTAATCATTTTGACTTAATACATACAAAAAACAATGCCACAAAACAAGCCAAGCCTCTTTGAAACAGTCAGCATCAGAGATGCAAAAGTCAAATGTCATGCAGTGGATCCACACCATCATCACATGACAACATGGCCTGATCAGCTCACTGAATGCCTTTGAAGGCTGCATTTGCCTCGGGACTCGATGCTTGGCTTGATCCAACGCATCTGAACGCATCAGCAATACCTCAATGTTTGATGGCAATGAGTAGAGCCAATGACCACATTAAAACAAAACAGTAACATATTACAGTAAGTCACAAGCATAACCTTTCCTCTGACAAGCTCAATTACACTTTGTTGTATGGCAGCAACATCAGTCCCAGCAATCATTGCTTGTCGCGTTTGGCAAGCCATGGCATGTAGTGCGCTGTCAAACTGTCGGTCCTTCCAGTTTTGTAGAAGATGAGCAGCATACTGGTTCATCACATTGACACGGGCGTCACATGACAGATGGCATCTGAGCTGCTTCTTATACCAGCAACAGGAGTTGCACAGACCATGTTGGCCCTGAGCCTTTCCTTGACAGCATAACTTCTTTGTGACACATGCACGAACATGTTCGCCAAAAAAAACTTACTTGACAAATAGGAGACCAAATCTAGGAACTGTTATGATCCAAGCATCTAAAACGTATCCAAGGCCGGGCTTGTCGCAATGCCCTCAAAAATGTGGTGAATGAAGGGGCAGGCAGCAAGTTGCATTGAGCACACCACTTCAACATGCATTCAAAGAGAATTGCAGGCTTTACAACCCCCAAATATCTGCGAACTCCTGGCCCACTTCCTGGACCAACAGCTGCCATCCGGAAAGGCTCACTCATGACAATTGCATCACATGCCAAAGAAGATACAGCTCTTTCCTCAGCATCCTCATTGTCATCAGAGCCATCAGTCTCTGGATCAGAATCATCATTTGTCACTTGACCAATATTCTTCCAAGCCTTGTCAATCACAAACTCACTCTTAGCAGAAAAATCCCACCGCTCAGGTAAAAACTCACCTTCAGAATGGTACTTCATCTGTAGAAACTTGTTGGCAACATCCAGCTGAGGAGAGCTGGTGGCAGTTGTGCGGAACCCTGACCGCCGCAAGTCTGGCTGCCCATTGAGAACCTCAGATCCCATCAGTACACTCTTCAATAGCAGCACTGCAAAACACATGTAAATGAACACAAATCAAATCAAATGATTTATATAATTCACTTGCCAAAGGACACGTGTATACCGGGACTGACCAATGCCAAGGGCAAACAATACACAGCGAAAACATATGACACCCAAACGTTCATCTCCAGTCAATGGCAGGAACTTGGCTAGGTCAAGTGATGATGGCCGTTTTGTTGATGTCCTTTTTGAAGGCCTCTTTCTTGTCACATTGGCAACAACCACAGGCACCCTTGTTCTTTTGATTGGAACATGATGCTGCAAGTCATCTGATTCTGTACCA